GTGGGTCCACCACCTACAAAGCTTGATTTGGTTAAGTTTTGATTGATTTCTTTATTAATTATAAATTAATTTTAAAAAATTTGGTTAAATTAGGTTCGAATGAGATTTCAATTTTGTATTGAAATAATATTTAAAATAAAATGATTAAAGTTGATTTGATATAAAAATATGAAAAAAAATGATTGGAAGTGATAAGTGTGGATGACTATAAATTAAAATTGATATGATGTGTGATGATGATCGATTGATATTATTTTGTTATATTGATAATATTGATGAGATTAATAATGGTTTAAAATTTGAGTTAGATTTTGAGTCAAAACGATTAATAGGTTAAAAATAATGGGATATTTGAATATAAATCCATATCCAAGCAACTCGTAGGTTACTTCAGTTCATTTACTTCTTCTAATTTAATTGATATAAATTGGTGAATTATGTTAACGTTTGTTATGTTTTTGTGCTTATTTTCTTGTGTTTTATGTGCGTTAGTCGAGTCATTTTTAGATTCGTTTGAGTGTCAACCGGTCCATTTTGTCGTGTTTTATGTATTTTCGTCTTCGTTATGTGTTTTTGTATTTTTTCATGTTTTTGCGTCTCTTTTGGTGTGTTGCTTAGGTTCAATTTGCAATTTCGGGAAGACGAGTTATTGTCCGAACCATTTTCCATGATTTCTATGCCGAACCATTTCGAGACGAACCAATCAAGCCACTTAATCGAGCCATCCGAGTCACTGAGAGATGCCGAGCGCTCGCTGCGAACGTGGATTCGCGAGCCGCAAATTGCGCCCTATGTTTCAACTCGCTGCGGAAGTGCCTTGGCGCCACGCGATACGACACGGCTCAAAAGGTAAGGCAACACTCGCTGCGAAAGTGCTTTGGCGCCCCACGAGACGGCACGACGCGAGAGGATAGGACACGCACTCTCTCCGAATTCGTGTTGGCGACCCGCGAAATGCCGCACCACAGCCCTAACACGCGCATTCGCTGCGAAGACGAGTTGGCGACCAGCGAAACACGAGGCGCGCGATAGCCTGGCCCAGCAGCACTCGCTATGAGATCTTTTTGGCTCCCCGCGAGATGGCACTCGCACGACCCTAGGCGCGACACTCACAGCGAGCAAGGATTCGCGCCGCGCCAAACGCCACACCAAGCTACCCTTGGCCCGAACTCACTACGGAACTATTTTGCGACCGGCGAACGCGCCAAGCTACACTACTCCATGCGCACACTCTCTGCGAAAGCAGTTTCGAGACCCACGAACTGCAGAATTATAGTAAATGTGTGTATTTTTAATGTGTGTGTGTGTGTTTGTGGTGTAGCTATAAATAGACATTGTGCTTTGTATTTTTATGACAACCACCTCATTTCCCAACTTTAGTTGGGAAATCCTCTTCATTTTCTCTCTTTTATTTTTTTGTTTTGGTTTGGAGGTTCATGACTTGATTTTTCCGGCAACTTTATTTCCGATCAAGATTCGAGTTTTACATACTATTTTCGTCTCCGCATGCGATATTAGAGTAAGTACCTTGCTTAGAGCTTACTACTTCGAGTTTGTTTTTCGATTTTATGTTGATGCTCGATTTTTGTCTTTGGTTCATTGCTTGCTTTCGTGTGTTAGGATTCTATACATGCTTATCTAGTATAAAGGTCTCGACTTTGTTCAAAGCGTCATGATTTAGTGTAGATAGCTCGTGTTAGAATACCTAGGATCACTATGCTTGCATGTTTTCTCTTGTTTATTTTTCTTTTTCTTGAGTCATGGAGATTCCGGTAGACCAAAGTTTCGATCTTTCACTCTATATTTGCATTTTCCATCATTTGCTCTAGATTTTTAGTTAATTTCATGCAAATCCAATCCCTTCAAGTGAGTAGAATGTGCAGGACCCTATTTTCGGTTATGTGACTTTGACGACTAGGTAGTGATCGAAGCTCCGAACAACCTTCCTTTGAGAATGACCCGAATCGGGTAGCTCGGTTACCACATGCCCAAAAATGCTACAAACTAAATGGCGCCGTTGCCGGGGAAGGTGAGTAGGACGCCAAATTTACTATTTAGTTGTCATTTGTTTCCGTGTTTCTCTTGCTTTTTGTGTATTTTGGTTGATTTTGTGTGTTTATCTTGTTTATCTCTTTATTTGCGATTTTCTTGTTTTTTGGTATGTGTGTTCTTGTACACATCGCATCGTGTTAGTTATGTTTTGCGTTTTTCTTGTCTTTGCCTCGTGTGCCTTTGAGTTGTTTGGTTGTTCTTGTGCGAGGTACTTCACTTGAGGAGCATGGATCTGTATGGCTATTTTTATGCCAGTAGCTCGTCTAGTGGATACCCCGATAAAAAGGTCCTTTTCATACATAAGGGACGAAATTGGAACATTTTTTTGTAAAACATAAATGATTTTTTTGTTGCGAAAGAGACCTTTTTGTAACATTTTTACAAACATACGAGACAAAAATAAAAAATGCGATTCGAAGAGGACGAAAAAGTTAGGGTAGTGAAACATACAAGACTAAAATTGTAATTTACTCGGAGGAAATTTTGAAACTTTAAAGTGAAGGAGCTGAAGACATACATGATGTTGTTATCGAAGTTGACACTTTTATAAAGGTACTTGGACCAGAGAAACCTAGTCGTCTACGTGGTTGCGGAGATGAATTGAAGTCTCCTTCTAGAAAAGGAGAAAAAAATAATCGGGAAATATAGAACGAAGATGAAGAGAACTGGGAATGCAAGCGAGAAAGATAATGAATGCAGGGAAACTCTAATTAGAGAGAATAAAGAAATGGTGACCCGTTTAGAGTCTTTGGAGACTCCATTCAGTGAAAATTCTTGCCATTCTTCAAAAGACGAGTCAATTTTCTTCAAATAATGTGAGTTGTTCTATCTATATTTTTCAATATTTCTTGTTCACATTTTATGTAATTTTGTAATTAATTCTAATTATATGTTGTTACATTAAACTAGTATTGACCATGTGCATTTGCACAGATGTAAATATATATTATAACTTACTTATATGCATATAATATTTAAATTATAAGTTAGATAATAGTATTATATTTTAAACATAGAATATTATAAGTTATATTTAAGCATAGAAAATTAAAATAAAATTATAATTCAGATAATAGTATTATGTTTAAAATTTGATCATTTGTTAAAATAAAAAGTACATAATGATCTGATTGCATAGAATCACTATATTGATTGCCTAAAACTTAATAAATGATGTAATATTTGTAATTTTGAGGGATCATGTCTAATTGATTAGCTGATAAATATCAAGTTTACTATAACAATTGATTAGGCAATTTTAAGAAATTTTACTATCATCATCAACATCAACATCCCATAGCATCATCATCATCAACATTTTAAGAAATTTTACTATGACATTAAAAAAAATAATTTATTTAAAAAATAATCGCGTAATAAGCTAAAAGAATATAATATTGTTTTTAGAATAAATAACTTGAACAAAAATTTTTTACAATATAATCTTTTATGTTTATATAGCTTTTATATATCATTTAGTGCAAAATATAATTATTAATTAATAATAACTATTATACGACTTAATAAAAAAATGATTATTACTCAATTAAATACAAAATATATCGGTTTTCGTTTTAATTCACCCAAGAAATGTAATTAAATATTTTATTATTAATGAGATAGGGTAGATTAATGCCACATTTAATATTACTCAATTTTAATTTTACCTAATTAAAATTTATTAAGTTTTATTTATTAGGCAAAATTAAAAAAAATGCTAACAATTATATATAAATATAGATATAGATATTGTCATTTGGCCGTTTCAAAATATTGCATCCATGTCATTTGACCGTCTAAAGAATCATGGATATTAATGTTGACTGCATTTTTGAATGATGATTGTGCATAATTCTTTATGTCCTATTATCTATGTCAAATTGCAAAAATCATGCATCAGTCTTTTGTAATTATTAGGTTTTTAATAAAAAATATTAGTATAGAATCAATATACTTTTAAGTACTGAAGTATGGCATTGGGATGATGTGTATGGATTGATGTTATTTTTTTCGTGTTTAATGTATATAATGAAATTCATTCATTTAAGTGTACATTCATCTACTAATTTAAATTCTTGCAGGAAATTTTTTGAAGAGCTTGAGCATTGTTTTTTATTGGAAATTATTTTCACGTTTGTAACATGAATAAAACACATTATATTTGTATGACGGGTTTTCAAAAAGTATAATATAAATAAAAACAAATTATTAGTGTTTCAAGTTTTTAGAAAAGGAAAAAAAATTCCAAACACTTCCAATAAATTAAATATAGCCGTTACAAATCATAATTTTTCAGGACAAAAAAAAAAAAGTGTCAATTATATAGTAGTTACTTATTAGAATCTGCCAATCAAATTGAATTGCCATGATTATGATTCACATTAATTGAGTCATAAGCTTACTAAGATTTTAATAATAAAAAAATAAACCAAATTAGGCATGTAACGGATGATAAGTGCCCTGCCAAAAAA